TAGTTTTAATCTTCCTCTTTGAAGATGATTACTTGGTGATCGAAACACGTGTCGAGGTGTTAAAAATAACGATTTGGTGTTGGGAAAAAACTCCAGTAATATTCATTATGATCTCATGTTCAAATAAATACTTTAAAAAATAATTATCAAAGACTTATGCCATTGACAGATGTAATTAAATTGAATTTGCCCAAACATTCAATATTGAAAAATAATCAATATTTTTTTTTTTCAGTTCCATGAAACAAATTGAATCACTGCCAAATACTTCCAAAGACTCAAAAAAAAGATTAAGTTATGTGACACTTACCTCTGGTAAAAAACTTAAGAACTTTTCAACTAGCTTGTCCGAAGAAGAAGGATTATCGTTAGTCAAGCTATTGAGAAAAACATCTGATGAAATGTACAAGGAAAATCCATCATCTGTTCACTGGTCTGCGATAACCAAAAAAATTTTTGAGGCTGGAGGTTATAAAGATTTTACACTGGAAGAAGTTGATGCCTTATGGTCTAAGATGATATGCGATGCTTCTAGAAACAAACATAACCATTCTGCAACAAGTTTAGATATGGAAGTTCTGAATTTAATGACAGAAGCTTCGAACAAACACACTAATGGAGATTCATTACTGATACAGGAAGTCAAAAATCTTCAGAAAAGCGATCGTATTTCACAGCTTCCAACATCGAGCATGGAACAGAGTGACACTGAAAGTGATAAAGTTGGTGAAAGTAACAGTAATCATCTAAAGTGAGTATTGATTCTTCAAGGATTTCTCTATACTTTTTGAATTGATGAAAAAAAGCGTTAGGAAACCAAGCCAAAAAAATTAAATATCTCACAACACTATAAGGGTACTAGCCATATCTCCTGATTCTTGATCTATTTTTGTTCTTTTTTGTTTAGTAACTAACCCATGAATACTTCAAGGCAGAAATAAATTCATTCAAAACATAAAAAAATCCACTTAAAGATAATGAACATTGAAAAGACAGAGGAATGAAAATAATTACAAAATCTTCATTTCTTAGTACTAACCATATTAAACGCTATTTCATCAATGATAATTTTTGAAGTAAATGTTTGTTTATACAGTGCCGACATAAATAGTCCCCTCAACCCCTTTTATTTTTTGAACGGGGCAAGATATCAAAGTCGACAAAATTTGTATGAAAAGGTATCACTTTTTAATAGTTTTTGATAAAAAGCCAATGGTGTGACATCACCATTCGCAGAGAGGGCACTATAAATTCTTTCCCTTTGTTTAAAAAGTATTTACATTCTCTATACAACGACCCTTACTGTTTTGAATTTGGATAACCGGTTGTGGAGTTATTGGTGTATGAATTGGAGATTGAAACAGATAATGTCACAGCTCACACAATAATGTATAAGAGAAAAAAATTGTTCACGAAAATGAATCGTATTTAGAATAAAATTGAAATAAAGTATTCGACAGAGAAGCGCGTTTTTGTTGATTCGATTTAGGTTTTTTTTGTGATCAACTTTGTAGATGAAAATCCACACCATGTATGGTGTTAGCTTGACAACTGTCATTATTGATTCTGATATTGGTTGGATCAGACATATCCAGGCATATGGATTGGTAGGCGTGGTTTGTTGGCCTGCTCGTTCACCGGATTTTTCTTTGGGGCTATATCAAATTGAAAGTTTATGCTACGCAACCTAGGACAATAAGATAAGTGTAAGACATAATTACCCTAAAAATTATATAGCAAAATGTTAGACTATTTCATTGTCATGAAGTTGAAGGAGAAGAACATTTGCTCCAATGATTTTTTCATGTATAAGATAAATAATAACGAGGTTAAAAAAAATTAAATGCTATGAAATTCTTAGTTGCAAATTCAAACATCAATAACTTTTTAGCCGGTTTATGAAATTGAAAAAATTAATGTCATCATATGAAGAATTGAAATACCTTTCATATGAAATGTCACAAGGCCCCCTTTCTATTTGGAAAAAAAATTATAGCACGGAAAAGAAATAGCGGTATTGGTATAATAATCATTAAGCTGTCACCACAAACGTTCCGTCGATAATTAATGAGGTTGGAATTCCGCGGTAATCAAAGGAAGTAGCCGGCCGCTGATGTTTGTTAACAACAGCTGCAATATGCAGGTGTTTGGACAATTACGCCATTATTCGTGCTATAAATACGGCATTAGATCCTCATTGAAGACAGTCTAGAGTGAACCTTCAAGATGAAACTACCTCCGTTAGTGAAAGTGTAAATACGCGAAGTTAATAAAAGAAAAATGTAATTAATCTAGTGTGCCCATAGAATTGAAAATGCTCTGATAAGTAATTACGTGAAAATAAATGTGTAAGTTAAAGAAAAGCGATCAGTTTTCGAATCGGAAGTAATTTGAATAAGTGTTAGTCGTGCAAACAAAGAAGATAAAAGAAATGATGTAATATTGTCGAGCTATGAATATGAAAACTCATATCATTATTTTGAAATTGTCCTTATGTGAGTATAAGCACAGTAAACAAATGAATCTTCCTTCGATAAATAATGTGTAATGTTGTTTAATTCTGAATGTGAATAAAAACGCAGAAGTCTCTCCCTGAAAATCTATTCGAAATACCATAATTTCCGTTTGTTTGTCGATTGTGATTTTAATGTAAAAGGTAAATACTGTTTCTTCGGTCTTCGGTGATCTGTAAAGCCATCAAAATTGTTTCTTCAAATTAAGGAATCACACATTAAAAGGTAAGACCTCGTTAATCCTTAGCTTGCACAAGTTTCGACTTCTGAGGGTTGTCGTTCGTAGGGGTGTGTCAGCTGGTTAACGGAAAAACATATTTTAAACAGATTTAAGTATGTACAAGTGATCTTCTTAAAAGTGTATTAGAGAACGATGATTATACATTGGTTCAAATTTGTTGTTTTTAGCAGGTCAATTACCATGAAAATGTGTTGGAAAAACTGTATAAATGAAAAACTGTTTGCTCGTGTTCTGTTTTCTTTTATATCAGATATATGTGACATGGCACTGAACTGAAGTTTGACGTAAAACCTATTACCGATTACAGGAAAAACACGATCGATAACTTAGTTTCCTACTACCGACAAGCAGAGCGCTACACACACGACCCGAACTGTCTGCTCCGGTTAACTAAGATGTTCAATAGATGGCGTCATATGCTCTATTTTTAATATTAATACAACACCCCCACTTATTAAAAATAGACATACATTGACTACAAAGATAATAAACATTAAGACAGGTGACCTAGACATATCAAAGCTACAAATGTTTTACACTAGACCTAGTTGAGAAACAGATTTGTTGTGCTTAACAGTTGGCAAACCCAAAATATCTGCAATCATATCTGCTGACGCTAAATATTTCAGTTTAATAATATTGTTAGCTACTGTTTCCCTAACAAAATGGTATCGGACATCTATGTGCTTTGAGCGTGAATGAAGTATTGGATTTGATGCCAATTTTTGGGCTGACTGATTGTCTACATATAAAATCAAAGTACTATCCAATTCTTCATTAAGCTCCCCATATAAATTTTTTAGATAAATGGCTTCTTTAGCCGCTTCGCTCATTGCCATGTACTCAGCCTCTGTACTACTGAGGCCTGTACTCTTTTGCTTAAAACTTTTCCAGGAAATGACGCCTCCCGCTAACTTAAACAAAAAATCAGTGTAGGATTTTCTATCTAATTTATTAGAACCCCAATCAGAGTCTGAATACCCTTCTAAACTGCAACCATTTTCTGTAAAAGTCAAACATTTAGACTTCGTGCCTTGCAAGTATCTTAACAACCTCTTAGCACTCTTCCAGTGGGTCTCTGTATAACATGAATTAAATTGACTCAAAAAACTAACTGAGTAAGCTATATCTGGGCGTGTCAAAACTGCAATATACATCAAACTACCAATTAATCGTTGGTATGGTATTTTAACATCACAAGTACCATCAGATTTTAATTTACTCGCCTCTAAACCTAAATTCACTTCTATAGGTGTGGCAACACTGTTACAATTAATCATGTCAAACCTCTTTAAGACTTGATCAATATAACCCTCCTGATCTAACTTAATTTGACCGTTTTCTCGTCTTATTCTTACCCCCAATATCTGTCTAGCATCCCCCAAATCTTTAATCTGAAAGTAGCTGCCTAAATGACATTTTAAAAACTCAATTTCTTTGAAATTATTGCCAAAAACAAAAAAATCATCTACGTACAGGGCAACGACAGTTGAAGATTCATTACATTTTTTAATGTAAAGACACGGCTCATATTTAGACTTAGAGTAATCAATTTTTAGTAACACCTCATCAACCCTTTTATTCCATGCTCTACTACTCTGTTTGAGACCATAAACAGCCTTTTTCAATTTGCATACCTTGTTCTCTGAACCCTCAAGTACAAAGCCTTCCGGTTGTCTCATATAAACATTTTCTTCAAGGTAGCCATTCAAAAAAGCTGTTTTGACATCTAAGTGAAAAACTTCCAAACCTAATTTCACTGATAAACCAAAAAGCATGTGAATAGTACTGTGTCTAACCACAGGTGAGAATGTTTCATCATAGTCCAGTCCTGGTTTCTGTGTAAACCCCTTCGCGACTAACCTTGCACGGTACACAGGGTCACTATCAGAATCACATTTAATCTTGAACACCCATTTTGATTCCACCACAGTTCCACGGCTTGGCACATCGACAAGGTCCCATGTATCATTCTCATCGAATGACTGCATCTCGTCCATCATGGTTTGCCACCACTTTTTTTGTCTGGTCGCGACAAGGCCTCCTTGACACTCAATGGCACATCCTCCATGTTTATGTCACTCTGACACATATAGGTGACAAAATCTTCCAGCCTTGTATTTGGAAACTTTACTCTCTCTGATCTTCTTGGAATCACAGGTTCATCATCGCCATCTGACTTCAAGCTCACAAAACTCCCATCTAGATTTTCTCCCACTGAGTCTGGGCCTTCTTGGTCTTCAGATTCAGTTTTGTCTGAACTGTCATGGCTGATGATCACATCAAGATTTTCTTTCTCATTGATAAGGATATCTCGACTGAAGACAACCTCCTTTTTAATAGGGTCATACAGCCTATATCCCTTCGTGCTGTCCCCGAATCCAACCAGTATCATTTTCTTGGACTTCTTGTCCCATTTAAGCCTTTTGGCTTTTGGGATATGCATCATAGTTTCACTGCCAAAAATTCTAATGTTACTGATATCTGGTTTATGGCCATACCATAGCTCATATGGTGTTTTATAGTCTAAACCTCGGGCGATGCACCTATTTCTCAGATATATGGCTGTGTTGACCGCCTCAGCCCAGAATATCTTTGATAAGTCAGCCTCGAATAATAAACACCTGGCCTTTTCTATAACCGTCCTGTTCATACGCTCACTCATTCCGTTTTGTTCAGGTGTATGAGGGTTCGTCCTTTGATGTACTCTGCCCTCCTTTTTGAGGTATGACTCAAAATCATTTCCACAAAACTCCCCACCATTATCTGAGCGTAGACACTTAAGCTTCTGCCCTGTTTGTATTTCGACAAGCTGCTTAAACTCTTTGAAATAATCCAATGCCTGGTCTTTGGTTTTCCTGAGTTGTCAAAATTAAGTAAACTGGCGTATTTGTTGATCGATATTAATGTTAAAGTACATGTTATTGTTTATATAGTTAAATACTTTTGACGCTATATGTCGAAAGCTTATGAAACAGCTGTTGCTCTTGATTAAAGTAGTTTGTGAACACAGTATTAAGTTATTTCCTATTTAATAAATGTTAAAACGTACGCTGACTTGTGTTTCAGTTTGCTTAGAATAAATCATCTAGTTGACCAAAGAAAATCCCACCTATTTAGGAACAGCCGCTCGATTCCAAACAGGAGTTTTAGTATTGTGGCATACTTACGACGTTTCGAGTTACCCATCCATCTTCTCTGGTGTACCCGTTCCCGCACCATAGAGAGGGTAATTCGAGCGATCTGAAGGTATGGAGTACGGCGAGTTTGGGCCATCGTATGAAATCAAGTCGACGAGGTGGCTCATACTCTACCTTTGTTGAGTGTCTATGACACGAAGCATAAACAATAAAACCACAACTCTCGCAAAAATGGTTCATAATTTTTGAATCGAAGTTTAGTTTTGATCAAACCTGCCATATTTTCTGGAGCAGAACCTTCAATACTATTTACAAATTTTTCACAATTTCCTATTTTATTTTTAATAACACCCCTCTTTCTTTTAAGAGCTGATATATCTTCCAACATTTCACTAAACAATGTAATTAATAGCCGTAATTCTTTAAGATAATTGTAAAATAGTACTGTAAGTAATGACTAATAAAACTCGAAATCGCAAATGAGGAAAAATTGTAGAGGTTGATAAGAAATGAATAATGAAAACCGGCTCACCGAATTGTTGCCAATTTGTTTAACGTCCCTGCTGGGTCCCAGTTCCTTTTTTCGAATAGAATCGTTGAATTCCAGCGGTTGAATGTAGGTAAACAAACAAAAAAACGAAATATAATTTATTTCATGATTTATTTCTATGATTGATTCAAATAGAATCCGTCTCGAACTGACCAATTTTTTTTATGTTTGAACTGATTGACTGTATAATCTGTTTTTGATGAAAATTTTGACTGTAGATATATAATAGTCTATCGAATGACAATTGCTTGTACACTGCTTTTTACATTACATTCAAATCGACCATCTTATCTACTTCACAAAAAATGCATTATTTATTTCACAGAAGGCACCTCGCAGGGTTGCCGGTTAAAACAAAATTAATATGAATTGTCATTTAACATGAGTTTTAACAGTAGATTCAGTTTCATAATTAGTCATATATGTATACATACAAATATACAGTGCGGACATAAATATTCCTCCTCCTCTTTACTTTTGAACTGGACAAGATATCAAATTTTTAAAAAATTGCATAAAAATATACCTATTGTTACTATTTGATAAGAAAGACTATAGTGTTGCATGACTCGTTATCGAGAGGGTACTACCATCTTTTTTTTTTTTCAATAAAAAGGGAATCTGTGATACCTGGTTTGATAGGTATTTCAATTATCTATCTAGTGTCTGACCGAAACTGGTTTTTACGACCGAAACCGAATTTCGGCAACGGTCTCAGTTTCGGCCGAAACCGAAACTTCCCCACAAGGATTATGTTTTGAGGGAAAAAATAAAGAAAACGTTCTTATAATCAGTCAGTCTTTTTTTTTTATCTTTAAATCACGTTATGCAGTCTTTGACATTTTTACTTTTTGATAATCAACAAATCAACATAACAACCCCTTATTTAAGAAAAAATTTAAATTGCACTTTAAAAATACTTGAAATAGGTGAGGTGTTTATTTGAGTAGGTGTGGATTCTTCTTTTGAATATTATTAATGGTTTTTCAAAAATATTAAACATTGAATTACTTGTGATGCACTGTTTGGAACCTCTGGTGTAGTAATGAATATTACTGGAGTGTTAAATTAACGATGTGTTATTGGGAAAAACTCCATGCTATTCATAAAATTACTCATTTGAGTTGTTACCTAATATAACAATATGTATGAAATTCAAGGTGCCGAACATGACCGATCACAGCGCGAGAACTCCCGAATGCAGTTTCGGTTTCGGTCGTAGTTTCGGCAGGTTTACCAAGTAAATGATGAATGAAGGTCCTTATTTTGGATTTATTTAAAAAAACTAACAATCAGGTAAATTGCTTTTCAATTTTCAGGAAGAAACCTTGGACCACAGACGAAATTCAGGCTCTCATATCGGCTGTCATGAATTATGGAGATTTGGTATTCAAAAACGGAAGAGAAGATGACATTTGGCCTGAGATTTACAAAAAGTTCATGGATGCAGGCTATAGTAGATCAATGAATGCAGTTAGATCTATGTGGTATCACTTGCGTAAGCGTGCAGAAAGAACATGGGCCGATAAAAGTGTCGGTAGCGAAGTAGACAGGACTTTAATTTCCTTCATGAAGAAGTTTTTAAAGATGGATACAAATGCTGTAAGCAAAATCGAGGAGTCTGATGTTACTGAAGAGCGTCAGGAAAGTCTTGAAAAAAAAGATGAAGATGACCCAGTCTTACAAATTGACTTGACATATGACTATGTTTCATTCGCAGACATAGAAAAATTGTCAGCAGAAACAGTGAAACAGTCTGTAATAAAAACAGAGTACATTAAAAAAAAATCTGAAGAAACTGTTAGCAACTTTGTATTTGCAAAAGTTGAAAGTGGAGTTGAATTTGATGAATTCCACCAAGATGATGAAGAAACTTGCCACGTGGGAATTTCTAGTATTTCATTTCCCGAAGTAAGTTCTAATTTTGAAGAAGATGGTTCTTTGTTAAAAAGATAGTTTCTAACAAAAATGAATATGTTCTGCCTCTTTTATTCAAAATCAATAATCTACAAAAATGAACCATGCTCAAAATAATACAATTTTTTTAGAAGAACGATATTTTTTTCTTTTCCATTCAATTTCAGGTAATAACAATATAAGATATATTAATTTTGCATTTTATTGACTTCATTTTTAATTACCGACACAGTAAATGAAAATGGATATATCTTTATTAGTAAATGGGCCAAAAATACCATCCTAGGTTGCATATGGATTTTCTTAGTTATTGAATCCTGTGTAGATTTTTTTATAAGTAGTGATTTTTTAATGAAAGAATTAAATTTCATTAAAAAGAGAAATAAATAAGTTACATCTTTTGTAATAGAAACCTCCTAATTTCAAGGGCATAAAACAATAGCATTTTATTTCAATCTCGTTATTATTCATCTCATATATAAAAAAAAAATAATTTGAGGAAATGTTCTCGTTGAACCTCACGACAGAAACACCGTGTATTTACGAACTCATTTCTAACATTTTGGAATATTTCTGGGGTAATGCTAACACAAGTTTCGGCAATTCTCTCTCTAAATTCTCAGTATTGTCCCAGGTTGCGTAAAATAAACTTTTGGCTCGATATAACCTCATAAAAAAGGAGATGAGGCAAATCTGGGGAACAAGCAGGCCATTCCAACTTACCACGCCTACTAATCCACACATGCCAGGGTATAACTGATTCAACCAATTTCTTGCAGGCCTGAAAAAATGTGGAGGGGCGCCATCTTGTTGGAAAACAACTAGATTTTAGGATTAATTTCGATTGTTGGCCACAATTTCTTGAATCTGTGTATGAACAAGGTTTCGAAGAATGTCCAAATATAAATCACCAGTCAGGTTTTTCTCTAGATTTATGTAACCAACAATATGATTTTCCAATATTCCTGCCCAGACATTTCTCAGTAACTTGAGTGTGACCTTCTCAAAAAATATTTGGGTTTATGTATTACCAATATTGCACATTTTCTGACAGACATCATAAAACTGCAATCTTCTCTCAGGGCCATCCTCATTTGTTTTGTGTAAAATCTTCAGTTTATGGGGTTGAGGTATTTCTGTTGTCATGGACTGCGGTGGATTATTCACCACAGACCCAACAATTTCTATCTGTTTCACGTCCGAAATATATTTTCTTCCAGCTTCTCTAGCTACCCTTCCATTTGTTTGAAACGTTCCAACCAATTCCCCGAGTTATTTTCGGCAGATCAGTTTATCAGAAAATCTAGTATTGAACACCCATTCTGCCTCATGAAAGTTACGGCTGGCTTCGGCGTGAATGAATATTGCTCCTGTTTTGTCTAAAGATCTGGAGCAAATTGATATGTAATGAAATGAAGTGAGTTCTCAGTATCAATAGTGACAGCTGTGAAGCAAGCACAATACTCTCTGTCACTAGGGTAAAACAGTGTGGATTCTCATCTACATAGTCAGTCACAAAAAAATCCTAAATTGGATATAAAACAGAAATTCGCTTTTTTGTCAAATACTTTGGTTCAATTTTATTCTGAATACGTGAACAATTTTTCTAACACATTACAAACACTTTGTAACCTGTGATAACTAACTTTGGATCTGTTTCAATCCCCTTTTGCTTGCAACGTTACAATCGATCATTTTTCCTGATCTCTAATCCATACATTAATTACTCCGCAACCGGTTATCAAAACTCAAAACAGTAAAGGTCGTTGTATAGAGGATCAAAATACTTTTCGAGTGAAGGATCACTTGAAAAAAAAAGTTTATAGCGCCTTGTGAATCATTATTTTTCCTTGTAAGTACTGGAAATTATTCCTTTTCATACAAATTTTTTCCGATTATGATATCTTGCCCCGTTCAAAAGGGGGCCAAAGGGGGTGGAGAATTTACGTACGCACTGTACAAAAACTAAAAATAATTTTCTGTGGTGACTTCAGTCTCGGATCTCTAGATCCCGAAAACTGTTCAATCTGCAGTTCAACTGATGAGTGTGAGTGAGTGAACGCTTGAGGGAGTGGCCTGATTAAAATACGGTTTATTGAGTAGAAAAAATGCAGTTGTGTTTGTGAAGTTGTGACAGCAAGTTTATGAAACTATAATTGGTGACTTGAACTGAAAATTGTATGTACAAATTATCTACAATACGCAATAACAGGCTGTAAATCGATACCTTCAACGGAAATATATGCGGCCGAGTCCCTTAAAACATTACTTTTTTTGTCACTAATAATTTATCTCTGGAGCTGAAGGTGCTCTCACACATTAAATATTTCTATTCATGGTTTTTCATGGTCTCCGATAAAAGAGAAGTGAAGCTAACCATAAAACTCCAAATGGCAGCTATCACGAATGAACAACTTCAAGCTGTATATTAAAAACGGCAAAAGGAGGTGAAATCTATTGAAGTAAAAATTACTGAAGATAGAAGAAATCAACCATCGCCGCCTACTTGGAGCAGAGAAGGAAAATGAAGATCTGAGAAATAAAGTTGAAATTCTAGAAAGGATTAAAAAGAAAAATAATATCATAATCTTTGGGTTATACAGGCAGGAAAAATCCATTTAATAAAAAATTGTGACGAAAGTGACTTGAATAATATATTCCCCTAGGAAATACATACGAGAGCCCAGTGGAAGTTGAATTCACTTCGTTCTTTAAAAAAACACAGTATAGAAAAACACCATTAAATTGAAAGAAAATCAAATAAGTATAGCTCAGGACATGACTGAGCAACAAAAAGTGGATCGTAAAACATTGAGGAAGCATTTATACTTGGCAAAAGAAAATAAAAATGATAACTGCTTTATTATAGAAACAAACTTTATATGAATAATAAAATATTTACGGTAACTGATCTTATAAAACAAAAAGAAAAAATTTAATCTTACTACAGTTCAAAACCGCATAGCGACCCTGGAACACCACCTCCGGACGAATCGCTATTAAAAGAAGACACTGAAAGCAATATATCCAAAATACAAACTGCTTCATGATAACTTTCACCCTCCTAAGTGGATCCAATCATTCATCTCACTCCAAAAACATCAGCGCAAATCTAAAATATCCACCAAAGATATAGCGAGAAGAAACAAACCGTTTAATAGAAAGAATTCCGTTAAGCAGTGAATCTTTAATCGCACATAATATAATTTGTATTCTGTGAATTAATTCTCGAAAAATGAGTTAATAAAAGAATTGTTTCGTTGAAATCTCATAAAATCTAATGGATTCTTGTATTGCAAATTATAACCACGAAATAATAACTGAACAGCTTATAAATAACATATAAATGAATTCAATGAGGAGTTCTCAGAATTTATATAATAATAAGCTTAGAATATTATACATCAGAAAGAATTTTGATCAGCTTGTTATTTTTCTAAATCAGTTCCCAAAGCTATTTCCTATTTGATATAATAATAATATTTATTTGACTAAGTTACATAATACAATATGTTTGTAGCAACACATGTTTGGCTTTACATTTGAAATTTACAAGCAAATAACAATAATCACATAATGTAAAAACTTCAAAAATCAAAAACAAGTAGTGACTTGTGTGTTACCACAAAAATATGTTCTGAAGTCATCGACAGAATAGAAGCCTTACTATCTGAAACATTCAACATTCATTGAACGGAAATATATTAAATGACAGGATTTAACATAGTATACAGTGGTACGTTTAATAGAAACGATATTCTATATTTTTCATACCAACTACACCTGATGATATCAGAGTACTCTCATTATGGGACTTAAGAATAAAAAACCGGAGACATTATGGAATGCCACCGTTTATTTTTGAAAAAATGTGTGAATTTTGTAATGGATCTATTATGTAATATAATGAAAATTTGTCTAGAACAATTCACTCAGTTGATCGCTGAAAATCGGCATTTGTTCATAGATAATCACAGTGACTGAATATAATTTCTGATTTTTATTGTAACATTATATTTCCATACATTTATCTGTATTTCATTCATTTGACATTCTATACATTGACGTTTTATATATTTCATATATTTTACACTTTATATATTCATATTTTAGTCAGCCCTTAAAATGTATTGTATCTTGTAAGTAAGTAGATCATCTATGTTTTATATTCTTCAATATTCCATATCACAATTGTCAACCTTGATCATATCCCAGCACTACAAATTATTTTATTCATCCATAATATGTACTTGGGTTAAGGTTTGGGCTTGTCTATAAAATGTGAATTTTCTTGAAACAAATAAAAATGAAATGGGTAAAGAGCTAAAGAATTTCATTACTGCTCCTCTGACATATTTAATAAATACGTGTTTACAGCAATGTGAATTTCCAAACTGCTTGAAATTAGGAATTATTAAGCCCATGTACAAGAAAGGAAATAGGGCAAAAATCTATATAAGGCCATACACAAAAAATTTCCCTAATTTGCGTTTTTGTAGATCTATCAAAAGCCTTCAATACAGCAGGTCACAAACGCCTTCTCCAAAAACTCCAATCCTATCAGATAAGAGGACCCCATACCAACTAATGGAAAGCTGTGTGTCTGAACGAAAACAAGTTGTAGAAATCGATAGAATAGCGAGTCCTTCAAGGGATGTTTCTTATGGAGTTCCACAGGGAACGGTTCTTGTACCTCTATTATTCACTCTGTACATAAACAGTTTCATGACATATCGATCTACAGGTAAAAATCATCAGTTTTGCTGATGATATGGCAATACTTCATGAGGACGAACAAGACTTTCATTCAACAGTGTAACAGTGAACTATGAAAAATCATACCATTTACTATTCACATCGTATTCCAACTATTTAACCGAATTAGGTCATTTGGTGTTGAACAAAGTAACACACATTCTAGAAAAAGATAGGTCTAAGTACTTAGGAATTATTATAGACAGGCACTTTAAATGGGACCTTCACGTTAATCACGTTAAAAAATAAGCCAAGGGATTGCTGCTTATCAAATTCAGATATCTCGCCCAGTTATCATATGGAACACTAGGATGGGTGGCGTAGCTACATATAATTTACATAATTTAAGCGTTATGCAAAAGTGGATTTTGAGTATAATTTGCAAGAAAAATATTACTTATTTCAGCGATTTACTATTCCTGGAAAACAGCATTTTCGACTTAGACAAATCTATATTTACTTATCGTAAATAATATAAAATTACAGGCAATTGAACATTATCACGACACAAAAGTAAATATATCAATGAAACGACATGTGGAAAAACTATCGGTCAACGGTCAGTGGAATTTTTAGCATCAAAAGTTTATAATTTACTTCCTGATGATATAAAAAAAGTTTAATCGTGTACATCCTACAAATTCCATGGGAAAAAATGATTGGACAGAAAAGTTTTCAGTGATCTCATAGACTTAAAACTGCTACGCTAACTTATGAGTTGTATACATCAGATCAACTAATTATTTGAAATAATGAACTAATTTTAACATATTCACAAAATCTTCTCGGATTTGACATTACTCAACCGATTTTGACAAGCAGTTATATTCTGATATTTATTCAGGAATTACTCCAAATGTTTTATCTCAACTGACATCATTCACAAAAATTTTGAATTGTATTTTATTGCTATATTTGTAATTCAATAAATGTCATGCATAAGCTCTATGAGCCTCAATGACTTGTCATGTGTATTTATGTGCTTGTAATATGTTCATCTTTTATCTTTTTATACATTTTTAAAATAAACATTACTATTATATTCTTTTTACCGCAGTATGTGCTGGTCAGGCCCTACCCCCGAAGCCCCGATACATTCGGGAGGGCGCGCCAGTATTATCAACCAACGACCACTCCCCACTCCGTGGTGTAAGTGATCATTGGGTCCGAGAGTCATTATTATTATTGATTATGATCCCCAAATTCTTACATATTTATGTGTTATGAACTAAATAAATCATTCTGTCAATAATACTGAAACAGTTTGGAAAATAGTCAATTGTGAAATCATCAGAGATAAAAAAACAGAAAACTCATGACTTAGACCTCAAATTTTTTAATCACTGGTTTATGAATTTGTCTTCTGATATAGTTAATAAAATGGACACTGGCTCATTCTCATCATTAAAAAGTCATAAATATGGTAATGATGGGTCACATCTAGACATGGTGACTGCATTATACTTCGTCCCATCTGAATAGATCACCCTGTAGTAGTACTTCTATGATGTCACCCCACGATAACACTCAAATACGCTTCAATATACTTGCGCTGAATGTGTCAAGTTCGTGAAAGTGGAAGTGAATAAAATAGGTGAAATTGTCCACATTATGGGAAAAAATCAAAAAAGAGAATCATGCTTAGTGAGGAAAAAGAAGAAATTAGATGAAAACCGAGGAAAAACTCGTTCATACTCGTCAAGTAAGTAAAATCGCTTTAACGTGTTTTATAATGTTTTAGAGAATAACCAGAGAAGTGGAACTACTGGAAAACAATGAGACTGATAGTGATTTCTGATCATTGATCATTGGTAGGGGCAATCTACCTTGTAGATATTAATGCAGCCATCTGTTAGTTATTCTCGTGCCGTTCATGCTCCGCAAAAACAGGAGCTAACAATTGCTTTTCATGCAATTTCTTTGTTGAACCGATAGCGGTATTGGGTTTTTCCATTAGACATGGTCAAGTTTTATCAAAAAATCATGAACCGCAAAACATATAGAATAAATTATACGACCAATGTTCAACATTCACCTTTTGTTGTTGACAAAGGTTCGGAGGCAGATTCGGCATAGGAACATTCCTATACTAATAGCCAGTCCTCACAGAATGGTTACCCAGTGAGACTTATACTAGAAGAGGATCCGACTGAAGTGAAAGTCTCACAATAAAGTGTTTCTCGAGTGTGTTACTGATTTTCATCGGGTATCGGCCGATTCTATCACATATCTGAAGAAAAGTTTCATGGGACTAACATCAAGGACAACATTGGGCTAAGGCAGAACAAATACCTAACACAAGGCCTAGTTAAAGAAATGAAAAATAACTTGATCGATAATGGCTCCATTCCAAGCAATTGTACGGATTTAAATGTTTTGAATCCGAAAATCCAGATCTAGCTCTGGTTTCTCTTCAGCGCGATTCTTTCGCATGGTACTAAAGATTTCCCTGGCGAGGAACAACATAAATCAGTCTTCAACTAATTTTTTGAACACAACTTTTTTGGGCATAAATCACATTGAGCAAGGGTTTTTCAGCCTTGATGAAAATGCTGAAACACTCGAACCAAAATTGTCGAACTCAGTAGATGACGGAAAACTATTATGCAACATACATAATTCAATTTCAATTTATTGCTTCACATTTCAACCAGAAAATAGCAGTTGTCAATCACCTGGTACCATTACTGTTTGAAAAATAAATTCAGTGAGAAAGCCCGGAAAATTCTGGAATCATGGTAAAGAAGCTGAAAGTACAGCCATCAACTTCAGAAAACTTAAAAAGACCTTGTCTCACCCAGTAGTTGGAAATCTTTTAAAAATTAGGAAGGAGTAGTACAAGAAATAAAGGTAAATCTTATATAATCATATGCTGGTTTAATGAAAAATTTTGTAATGGTTGGAAAACAGTGACAACCAATACATATGGTTTAGAGTGGGTTAAGGGATTAAAATTTCTTTTGACATCCCACCTTTCCAAAGACTGGTACTCCAGCCGCTAACAGGACCATTACGAAAGTTTAAACATTAAAATTGGCGTCATTAAGCCGGTAGAAAAAGGTGAAAAACAATTTTTGTCCAATTATTTTTGAGGTTGAAATCTAATGGTGGCTGTAGATTAATTTTGGATCTCAAACAAGTAAACACAGCTCCGGTGAAAAATCAGGTATCAAAATATTATTTTTTGGTATCAATGGCAGACGTATATTTTTTCACTTCTCTCTATCAGTAAACACAAAAATATTCACGATTTCGATTCGAAAACAAATTTTTGAGTTTCAATGTGCACATATTTTGGTTTATACATAGCACCTTATGTATTTTCAAAAATCTCAAAGCCAGTCCTACATTCTCTTACGAATTGACATTTTATATCATTGGCCTATTTGGACGATATCTTATCAATAAGTAATAATAGGGGTGAATGTTTGGAAAATATCTACCAGACCTGTAAACCTTACGAAAAAATAGAATTTATCAATGAAAAAAAAAGTTAACTCAAACCTAACCAAACAATTACCTTTTTGGGCTCTACTTTCGATACAGCCATGATAGAAATGAGAGTTACTGCGGAAAAGAAGTAAAAAATGAAGGAAAATATGCGATGAGACGTAAGTCACACTCGAAATTTGAATATAAGAAACTTTTCCAAGTTCATTGGACATTTAATTTCTGTTTGCCCGGCGGTAAAATATGGGCGACTATACAAAATTATTTGATTGGCACCGATATTGGGTTTTGAAGGCAAATCAGGGAGATTATGACAGTGTGAAGGAAATTTCCAGTTGAACGACGACTTTGAATGGTGAATAACTCATATTGAGAAAGCAAATAGGACCTGAAAATTCTATAGTAAAATATGCACATTTTCACGGATGTCTCTGAAAGTGGATGGGGGCAAGTTATAACAAGAAGGGAGCTGAAGGATTTTAGGACCCAGGGGAGACCAGATTGCATACTAATGTTCTGGGTTCGAAAGCAGCCTTTTATGGGCTTGAAACGTTTGGCAAGCATTCCTCAAACTATCACATTTAGTTACGAATTGACAGCAAAACTGCCATCGCTCACAATAATCGGGTGGTAGGCATAAAAAATCGAAAACTTTACAAAATAGCAAGAGCTATGTAGCAGTGGTGTGAGAAAAGGAACATAATGTAATTTGCCTCATACATGTCATTGCACTGCAATTGCACTGATTGTTTTTGACTTATGCGATGGTACAAATAAGGTACCACCAAGCCATCCAGTAAGAAAAATTTCATTTTCTTTGCTGAATTATTCTTTGGAATTATTGGGCATGGTAGTTCTGGAAGCAAGATTTGGTTGTACCTAGGCACAAAGGTACCTGACAAACTGAACAAATCCTGGTTAACTTTTGAACTATATAATGCTTCGCTCCGGTTGATGTTTTGAAGACTACTGTCGCACTTCAGCGGGAACAAAGGGCTCAGATTTTTTAATTCACTGGAACTATAGATTGAGAAGATGATCTTTTAGTAGATACTAGCTGCATCTCAAAGGTAGAACATAATTCTATGCCATCATTTCTTACTTCGTCTATCAATTCTGTAGCTTGCCAGCAGTTGATCGAATTTATCTACGAAATTCATGTTATGACCGTGGCAGAATTTGTAACCGATTTTATACTACCATCCTTCTCCTTGCGTTGTACTTCACAAATATTTTCAGGATCATGATAATTAGAAAGAATATCTGTTCAAAAAATCTGTTTTGAATCTGTTTTTTAGTTAACCTGCTGTCGAACCCCTACGAATGACAACCCTCAGAAGTCGAAACTTGTGCGAGCTAAGGATTAACGAGGTCTTACCTTTTAACGTGTGATTCCTAACACGAGTTGGACGATGGAAAGTGAAAATCGATCGTTCAGACTAGGGCTTGAACCACCGACCAACACGGCAGTCAATTCGAGTGAGTGAACAAAGCGCCCACGTCGAACCGCCTGGCTACCGAACGATCAAAATATGAACGGACCTGTTATCCTTCCACTTTATGACTGCTAATCCAGTGTTGCTAGTGAACCATTGTATATCACCGGAAAAAATGACACCATAAAAGTTTCAACCGACGCGGTGGTACACGAAAGGTACCAAAACAATAAATTGTTTATGTTTGCTTGTAATGTAATATTTTCAGTTTTGATGCTAATGACACCTACTTCAAACATTAGCTTTCCAATTTTTCCCAATTATTGCAAAAAAACTATTTATTTTTCATACAATAAGACCACAAAACAAAGCACATCAGTTGAACGTACAAAGTTTTGAGGTTAGTGGCTGCAACTCGCGACCAAATCCGTAACCAACTGTTGTGAGTTGCGTCTACCGTGCACAAGATGGCAAAACTACAGTGGTTCTGAAAATGAATCATTGCAACCAGAGCAATTGCTCTGTTGAGCAGGTGGTACATTTTATTTACCACCGTCACCATACGTGGTGGTACATGGTGGTTTATTTTATGCAACGTGGTTGCCTAAAAAGTTATGGGCTTGAAAAGTTTGGCAAGCATTCCTCAAACTATCACATTTGGTTACGAATTAACAGCAAAACTGCCATCGCTCACAATAATCGGATGGTAGGCATAAAAAATCGAAAACTTTACAAAATAGCAAGCGCTATGTAGCAGTGGTGTGAGAAAAGGAACATAATGTAATTTGCCTCATACATGAAGTCGTAAGACAGTGTTAGAGCAGATCAACGTTTTAGATCTGAAGATTTTAAAAGGAATATTGTTTAAGTGACTATGCTATTCAAAAGTTGCTAAGAAAATTTGGGGAACCCGAAATAGATCTGTTTGCTAATTTTTCCAACAATAAACGTCAACAATTTCAAGCATTGGCACTCATTCAAAGTGAGTTGGTTAGACATGAATGCATATATATTTCGGAATGCATATATATTTCGGCCACTTACTCACACCTAAAATAAAAAAGTTGGCGAAGCAACGTGTAGTTGTGGCCATTGTGACAATTTCAACCCTGGTATCCCAAATTAATGTCAATATTAGCTTCCGATATA